TGCTATGTTACTTTTGGAGTTTGTTCTTTTCACAAGATGCTCTCTTAAATGAAGCACAAGAGCTTGAATTTTTTTTAAATGGTAAGATGGAATTTGTCTCCCTTTTTCACAAAAAGGGGAACTCATCTCTTTCCCTCCTCTCTACACACTCCTGGGGATTTCCCTCTTCATTGATGAGAGAGGGGAAACTCTAGCCTCCTACTCTAAGCTGCTGGGAGATAGTCAGTCTCTCTCTCTCTCTACCATCCCCATTCTTGGCTGGGGATTATTTTTCCTCTCTGCTGGAGGGATGATGTGCTTTATCCTTATCACAGGGAAGTTGGTGATCAACTATCTCAGCTTTCTCCAGCTCTGGTTTGGGCACAATTCTAATGGATCAGGAGCAGCCTTCTTTCTCCCTCTTTCTGTTATGCATGACTAGTCCTGGCTCTGTCCTTGAAATAATAGAGGAAGAATTTAGTATTATAGGACTAGTCATGCACAACAGAAAGGGGGAGAGAAGGCTGCCCCTGATCCATTGGATCAGTGCCCAGACTAGAGCTGGGATAGCTGATTGTGTGTGTTTGTGTTATGTAGTCCACTGTTGGTGCAATGCATCCTGGGTACTTGTTTGGATACTTTTGGCCAGCAGTGTCCATTGGGAGCTGTGTATCTACCATGTGTCTTAGTGCCTCCAGCTGGGGGCATAATGAGCGGCCCTCAGTTCCTTCTCATTGCCCTTCACTCATGCATTTTCCCCAGTGTTGTGTAAACAGTTGTAGTTAGGCGAAGTTAGGTTTTTTTGGTTACAGCAGAAAGGAACTGCTATTTGTTGTTCTTTGAGTAGCATCCCTAAGGGTGCTCCAGTTCAGGTGCCTCTCTAGCTCTCAATCAGAGATTTCTAGTTGGCAGTGGTCCATTCAGCCTGCGCATGTGCCTTATGCCTCCTTGTAGCAGACGCAGAGGCTATATAGGCGTGCACGGGCAAACTGCCCTCAGTTCCTTCTCTACTGCCTCAGCCTGAGACAGACCACTTGCAGGTCCGAGAGCATACTCTGCCTTTTATCTTTCTTCAAAGTTTGTTAGTTTATCGTTGTAGGTTACTGGATAGTGTTTAGTAATAGTTTAGCTGAGAGGACTTCTTTCCCCCAGGAGACTTTTCTTCTCCTGGCAGGATATGCCTGGTTTGTCAGGCTTCAAACGTTACCAGTATAGCTTCCTGGCAAGAGAGGCAAGTGATGGGCACTGAAAATATGTCTGTTGCTGAGAGAGTCCCTCATCTCCCAGAAGTCTTTCTTCCATGTAGGAAGAACAGGGACCGAAAGCCAAGACTGTTGGCCATGGAATGTTCCTTGCAACTGCCCTCTGAGCCAGGGCAGGAGACAGTGCTCCTGTACATCTGTTCCCAGACAGATCCAGCACCCCATCGATGTTGGGGCATGCTTCCTCTAAGAAAGGTAAGTCTTTGGAACATGCTGGCAGAACTTCTAAAAAGAGGAGCATGGACTCGATCTCTAAGGAGCCAGCTCCAAAAAAGATAAGTCACCATTGAGGTCCCTGGTCTCCAAGGGTACTGTTGAGGCCAAGGATGCTTCCTCCAGTGCCAGCGGGCCCATGAAGTCCCGGCACTCAAAGGAAAGAAATTGGCACTAACGTCAAAGAATGACTACCATTATCAAATGCCTTCTAAGGGCTTTGAGCAACTTTATACACACCAGCCCTGGACCTTTCATTAGCTGCTCCAACAACCAAAGGCCTAGAAAGTTGTCAGAAAACTTCAGCGCAGGCAATCACCTGCTTCTACCACCCCTCATCATACTCAAGGCAGCAGATTTGACTCCTTGGTCAGGAAAGGTGTACAATGTCTGTTGGATCTTCCTTGTAATAGCCTCTCCATTTGGCAACTATTTTATTTTCATGGGGTCTGTAAAAACATCACTGTGCACCACTGGGTCCTGGAAACTGTAGAGTGGAGTTATTCCATCCAATTCCTGACCCATCCTACCCACCTTCTCCATTTTCAGACACACCTTTAACAAAAGCATGCTGTAGCAGAAGGTGCAATCTCTTCTAACTCTCATCACAGTGGAAGAAGTACCTCAAGAATACAGGGGCAAGAAGTTTTTCTTGTGTCTTTAATTCCCTAAAAAGGGGATGCTGGTGCTCTATCTGGAGCTCTATCTGGATTGGGAACAATTGAACATCTCCATTTGCAAGCTCATGTTCAGGATGGTGACTCTGGCATCAATAATTTCAATCTTAAATCTACATGACTGGTGTGTGGACTTCTCAAGAAGCCTAGCTTCACATAATTATCTTGGGGCTAAGGGACATTCATTAGGCATGCAGTTTTCTTACCCATTCTAAAGGGTCTGACAATTCAACTTGTGACAGATGACCCTATGGCAATAAAGCCATGTTTTATAGAAGAAAACAAGGGGGTGTAAGTCACTCCTCTGTCAGGAAACTGTAAACCTATGGAACTACTGTATCCATCACAAAAATCACTCCAATAGCCATACACATACCAGTGTTGTAGAATGTACTGATAGAGCAGCAGACAGTTGACAAGTGACCATGTGTGGTCAGAACAGGACACTTATCCAAGACATTCATCAGGTGGGGGTCATCCAACCATAGAAGTGTTTGCCACCACCATAAACAAATGCAAAACAGTTTGCTCCAGGGGAGGGCAGAGTCGAAGAGCTGGCTGATGCATTTTTGATCTATTAGCCCCAAGCCTACTGTATATTCACCCTTCAAGTCCACTGAGTAACCTTGACACCTCACCTGAAGTTCTTGCCAAAGGTAGTATCCATCTTAACCAAGTAATGCACCTGCCTGTGTTTTTCCCTAAAGCCACATTCCAAGCTTCACCACCTAGATGTTCTCAGGATCCTTTTTGTACCTAACTAGAACTAGGCCATATATAGTATCCCCCATATTACTTGTAGTTTACCAGCATGGGACAAAAAGTCAGGCCATGTTAACACTGCCATTTCATACATTGGAAATCCAGTTAGTCAATGTGAAATAGCCAACTTAGACCTACTAATGAGCATGACAGCTCACTCTTAAGAGTTAAGGGAACTTCTTTAGCTTCGTGATTCAATACTAGAGACACATAGGGCAGCCACCTGATGGGGAGAGGAGTTCAGTACATATGTTTACCCAGCATTACTCAACATTTGATGCTAATTTGGTAAGGCTGCCTCCCATTCATTGTTTAGGCAGACTCCTATCACTCGCCTCCTGTGATCTAGGTCACTGTTTGCAAACCACCAAAAGTGGAATATGTAGGGACAGGGACTTAAAGAAAGCTATTTACCTTACAGTAACTGTAATTCTTTGTGTTGTCTATATATGGCAGTTGGGGTTGCCCTGCCTGCTGCACCCTCACTCAGAGGTACAAGGACATTGAGGGTATAGGAGCGACAGCCCCCCACCCAACACTGCTGGCCTCTGTTGGCAAAAGAAAGAGTACAGCTCTCTGAGCACCACTGTAACTCAATTTTTCAGAGCAGGAATATCCCTTTTGTCTTTACTGCTGCCTGGAGTTAGATACAGTTAAACAAAGCTAAGTTTTAGGAATTGCCCTTTAAAGCCAAGTTCTTACTATATGGTTTTGGAACATCAAAATCCTGTTGAGAGGAAATAGCAGATGCTTCCTGTTAGTTACAATTTTGTGACAGTTTATTAATCTCTGCCCCACACCATTTTAGATAATATTTTAGCTTTTGGGGCTGTAGTATCTAAGCTATTTCTAGCATGTTCCTACTCCACTAAAATGAGCTTTAGTTTTCAACTGAAATCCAAGTAGCTTTTAATTAAGCTGTTCACAATTAAGGTTCAGAGGTAGAAATAAATGAAGCAGATTGTTAATGGGATAAATCAGAGAATAAGCATCTATGTGCAACACCTCTATAATTACTATCAAACCATTTCTTTGGCTAGTAACTGAACTATTTTCTTTTAGTGTCTGGCTCTCTTTCAATAGGTACACACTACAGCAATTGTATATAGACTAAGGCCACAAGGGACCATCATGATCGTCTAGTCTAGGGAGGGAACAAAGAATGGTCTTGAGCAAGCAAGAGAAGGTAGTGCTGACTAAAGATAAAATGTTTACTGGGGTGAGCTTTGTATTTTCCCCCCTAAAACTAATCACCACCCCTCTTAATCTGACCTACTGAATAATTAATAGGGAGGTTCTGTCAGCTTCACAAGTTATATAGTAGGTTTGCTCAGCTGTGCCTCTCAAAGGTTTTGATCCTTTAGTGAAGTTTAAAGCAGTAAGATGGTGTAAAATAAAGAACAGATAAAGTTGCTATCCTTTATTTAAAAATACCAGTAATACTGACAGATTTCAAAAACAATTCACACTCATATAAAAAGTGTTTCATGTATTCTCTGAAACCAACTGTATATTGAACATCATTTTAATGTTTTGATTTACTAAAAAATAGAAGTTTTTCAGCTTAGATACTTAAGCAGCTGCAACATCATTACTCTAGACTGCCAAACAGTCAGTGTAACATTCCCACACCTTAGCTAGCTCCTAGAAACAAAAAAATGCAGGACAACAAAGGAATGGGCATCAGTGACAGAAAATGTTCATCCTTAGAAGCAGATTAAGGGGCAATTCATGTAGTTCTACACTTATCTAAATAGCTTTCAGGAGTGAATTTCCCCATCCCCTCCCTACAGGAAGACCATTGCGCTTTGGATTTCACCAAAGAATTCTGAACACATTGTTCTACAACATGTTTTTCTTTAAGGCGAAACTACAGTAAGAGAAATCTGTTACCTTCAAAATTGTCAGTATGGCCTGAGGAAGATTAGTTCTGATTTTTAAAAAGATGCTAAACAGGGGGGCATGTTTTCTTTAAAACCACACACAATGTAGGCTCAGAATATAGCAGTGCTCACTTTCACTTATAGCTTAACTGGAACAGCCAGTCTCAGTTCATTCCACCAGCACAAATAGCAGCATCCGGGTTTTCTATAATTATTCTTATGTATCAAAAGCAGGAGTCATCAAGGTGCACTTTTTTTTTTTTTTTGGCTTCTTATGCTCCAGCTCCCATTGTATTTAACTTAATACAAGATTTATGTATTTACCATCTGCTGTATTGCCACAAGTTATGGTTTCCTATGCTGTTTAAAGCCCAATACGGTGAACAGGCAGCACTTTGACACAACTCTATCCTTTCAACTGCCACACAGTCACTGCTCAGTGGCAACAGTGATATTCCAACAATGAAATAGCTGAAACTAAAGAAGTTATGGCAAAGTCTCTTAATTTCTAGTGACCATTGGTCCTGGTGCTTAGTAGGTTCACGCTATAGGCTGTATCTGCTGAACATTCCATCGTCGTTAGTCAGTCAAAGGTATCAGGTCATATAATGAGTAATAGCTCTCAGAGCATAAAGTAGTTCAGCTTGCATCCGAGCTTCTACAAGAAGCAAATTAACATGAACCTTTAAAAAACAAAAAACAAAAGTAAAGTTACACACACAGATAGCGCTCTCCCTGCCACAGAGCTTGTAGGAGGGGAAAGGTTCCAGCAAATGCTACAGGTGCAGGGCAACTTTTAAACATTTTCAAAGGATCTTAGGGAAGCTAAAGGGCAGGCATGGAGTGGGGTGAGAGAAGCAGGTGGTGTGGTGGGTCTGATGCTATCAGACATCACTCTCTTTTGATAAGAGAAGGGCAGATTAAAGGTATGTCTACACTACAAGTACTACAGCAGCACAGCTACAACAATGCCACTGTCGTATAGACACTACAGCAGCAGAAGGGGTTTTTCCATCGCTGCGGCAAATCCATTTCTCCGAGAGGTGATATCTAGGTTGACAGGATAGTTCTTCCATCAGCTTAGCTGTGTCTACAGTTGGGGTTAGGTTGACCTAACTACATCACCCAGGGCATGAAATTATTCACAGTACTGAGCGAGGTAGGGAGGTAGACCCAAGTGTTAGGTGTAGACCAGACCTATGGCACAGGCACTATAGGTATAGGGCCCCAGATCACAGAGTTACCGTAATACAACAAAATGTAAGCTTTTTTTTTTTTTTTTTTAAATAAAAGTTTATTGGCTCCATAGTCGTAAACAAAAGCTTGAAGACATCAACTGCGTGTAACTGATGTCTGTGAGCCTGCAGACAGCCTGAAATAGTGCTGACACCATAAACATCAATGGGTGCTATCCCCAAGATCTGCTGCTTAGGGGAAACACCTCCCAGCACTATCCTAAGAGAGAACTTTGTGGCTGGAGAAGGCCACAGGGAACCTGAGTCACATAGCAGCTGGGGTTTATCTGCTTTAGGGATAAGTACTTTTGGGAGGGGGGTGGGAGGCTGCTGCTCCTAGGGCAAAAGCGCATCCCATAACACTGCCTTCTGGGGCATGGACCATAAGGGATAGGCCACAGGGGGCCCCTTGTCATGATGTACAATGGCCTTGATTTCCTCAATTGGCCCTAGAGAAGAGTCTTTGTTAACTAAATTGTGTGTATCGATAAGTAGTTTAACAACTTATCTATTTCCCTCTACATAACAAGAAAGCTTGCATACTGACCAGCAAATAACTTGCTTTGTCTGTTAGCCAGCATATTTAGTAGACAAGGAAAAGTTATGCTTATTGGAAAGTGTATTCAACAAATTCAGTATGATATTTATCCAACAGAAGTAAGATCTAAATAATTTCATAACTGAAGCACGATTCTCTGATTATCATAGCATTTAACACTGTTATTGTAGCACACTATGGCTACTAGCCTTACTACCAAATCTACTGAGCTACTCAGAATACATGCAGACAGTACCTTCTCAGAGTGTTTGAACTGCCTCCAGAAGCTATCATACATTCTTTTTGTGGTTTTTTCAGGAGTGCAAACCACAGTTTTGATGTAAACTTTAAAACTGCGATCCAACAACTGATTAATTTCACCATAGTCATAATCATCGTATCTGTTCAAAAGTGAAAGGAAAATACTTTCATTTTCCTGTCCCACAATCCTAGTATTTCACTTAGAAACTATGTTTCAAACTACTGTACACAATTAGTTATTCCAGCTGTGCACAGAGACTTACTTTCTAGAAATATGCATCTCTCACCCACTTAAGTAGAGTCTTGCTCCTGTACTGCTATCATGGCAATGAAATGTACCATTGATAGCATAATAAATGGCTTTCCTTCCATCAGGAAAAAAAATAGTGAGATACTATCAAATCTAATTGTTTTGTATAAGGAAGATGACAGGACCAACCTTATTCCAAACATACAGTGGATATAATTCCAAATTGCACGTCTAAGCATGGAGGTATCCACATCTTTGTGCATGGCCATTGTATTGTATGTCAGATCGTAAGCAATATGAAACTTCTCATCAATCAGCTGCCCCACATCTGGGTAAAGACGATTAACCAAGGAATAGCCATGGTCCTCCCAGGAATAGTCCTTAAAATAAAGAAAGCAAAACTGACTACACGTTTCACAAAGACACATTGAAACTCTAGCTCTTCAATTTCCTGTATCAAGTATAATCACTATAACTGTATTGCTCTTGAGATAAAAGTGCTTATTTGTAAAATAAAATAAAAAATAAATCCTCTCTTGTTCTCCAGGCAATAGTTAGAACTAGTGACGAGTTTTGATGCAAAGTAATTGGTACAATTTAACACTCTGATTGTACACATTTTCTGATGCTGGTTACCAATCACTTTTCTGTTACCTGAACACGGAATGTAGGCACGTGCATTCCATGTCTGGAGAAGTCTTTATACCCATAGCTTGTATCCTCAAAGTGGCGAGATACATCTCTTGTCGGCGCTGATTCCTCATCCTCTGTTAAAGTAAACAGTAGGAGTTTCACAAATTAATCTCAGCATATTCCAGCAAGAAAACAAAAATAGAAGAGCACCTGTGAAGCTATTGTGGATTCTCTCACTCGACAGTACAATATGTCAAGGTAACACCTCCCACTCGTCTCCCCCACCCCACAAGAAACAATCCTAATACAGGGAACTCTTGCAAAACTTGGTTACCTAGTAGTAACTGGAGAAGTTAGTAATTTATGGTAGAACCTGTGAAAGATATGGCAATTTCCTGCAATATCCTTGGGAGACCTTACTAAATTAAGTTTAAGTATCTTTGGGGTCCATTATATTAAATGAATGATCTATGTATTACTGTGGGCCAAGACTGTATGTAACCTCTAAAGGGGGTGATATGTGAGACCGGGAGGTTCAAACAATGTGCCAGACAAGAATGGGCTTTTAGAATAAAAACCATTAAATTATTTTCCTGGGGAATATCTAGGAAGAAGTGAATGCATATTCTCCAACTCCTATTATGAAAAAAAAACTAGCCTTTTGAAGCTACACCCTAAGAAGAGGGTCTTTGCTGATTACCTGTTACTGAAGGCACCATCAAAGGCCCAAGCTGTATAAAGAAACAGTTGTTCTGCCCAGTCTGGGTTCTAGTTCTAAATCTGAATCAGTTATGAACTTGTAACCACAGGGAAACCCAGTTGTGGGTTTGAAGGACTGACACCTACCACACCCAAGGTTAAGCTGTGGTGATCTCGGATAAGCTTTTTAGTATGCGTGTAGGTTCTTTTACTGTTTTAATGTTTTTTCTGTAATGCTTTCATCTTAAGAATAAATATGCTTATTTAGTAAAAGCTATGTGGTAGCTTGTAGTACAGCTGTTCATAGCCTTCAGAGAGAAAGCAAAGCACAGGCACTGGCCTGTTTAAGCAATCTGGCTTGCTGAGGATATCACAGTGCAGGCAGGGAACAGTGCAGCTTGGAAAAACCCTGGTCAGGAGGGAGAGAGACATGGGTGTCTGCTCAAGAGAGGTGATGGCTGAGGAACCAAGTGCCTAAAGTAGGTGCACTCGAGCGACCACTGAGGGGGAACACGGGTGTAGTTGCCTGAATGGTGATAGCACCCAGTGTACCAGTCCTTTCCAGACATTCAAGAAACTAATCCAAAGAAATTGGCTCCACAGTTTATTCATCCTTTATCCTCTGCTTATCAGAGTTCTTCTCTGGGTAAGCAATTAGGAACTGCGGCAGCTGTGGGATAAGCATGGTTTCACTTAAAAAGTGCAGAGATTGTCTGTAAGGTATAACACAACCTCTTTAGACTAATTTGAAAGGTTCTGGATATGTACAGCCTAATACAATTGCAAGAGTATGGATCTCTAGAGGCAATTCCTTGAAGGAAAAATCCAACTTCTTTCATATATATGCAAAATCCACAAGTATCAAAGATCTTGCGTCTACTTTTTTTTCAGAATTTCATGGGCAGTAAGTGGATTTTTTGGATCAAAAGTTCAAGGAAACAGAGCTCTAAATCTTACAAACCACATTTTAATTTGGAGAGAATTTCTATGGAAGAACCCAGAATAACATTAGGCTTGTAGCAGACCTTAAGAACAATCTCGTATTTCCCTGAAAAACAACACACCCCACCTTCAACTCGTGCACATTAGTGTTTAATATTTGCTACTGTAGCTGAGGTAATTAGGTTTTACATTACACTGTAGGAGAGTAATTGAGTAGCATTTTCTTATCTGTTGGAGGCAAAATTAAGTTCCTTGTGAAGATATGTTAGTGGGCATTATGGTATGTTTAAGAGATGCCACACAATTTGGCACCTCCTTGCTTTTAAGGGTTTGGTTTAAAAAAAAAAAAAAAAAAAATCACACTTCTCTAACCATAATCCTTTTTAAATTAAGTTTTTGTTTGTGCAATAAAACACAACAAAAATACCACTTTTTAAGTAACTGGTAGATGTTAAAAGTAGGTTGATTTCTCCAACACGTTTAGTTAAGTCTAAATAATCACCACTTATGTATTTTTACCTGAACAACACACAGACATGCTTTCTCTCTTCTCTCTCTCAAAACGTGTGGCCATCTCCTCTTGGCTGGCTTCCTCTTCATCTCTGCACTCTTGTAGCTTCTTCATTTTCTCCATAAGTGCTTCAACTTCACAGAAAGATTCTGTAGTCTTAACATTAAAACACACACACACACTTTATTGCTCTATATACTAGAACGTGACAGTTGTGATACAAACTGTCAAGCCAAAAGTTTAAAGTTGAAGTTAAAGCTCATACTCCAGCCTTGATTTGCATCTTTTTTTTAAAAAAAATATTTTCTAGAAAGACCAGAACTCTTCTTATGTAGGGATATACTGATCTAAGAGCTCTAGTGTGATTGTATTAAAGATTTAGTCTCCCACTTTGTAAATAAAATAATATGTCAAAATAAGTGCATTATGACTCTGGGTACTGTTCAAATCATAAATACAAATTTTATTGGCTCAATATCTATTAAAAAGGAACTCTAAAACAAAAATACCCCATGCTACAGCAAATAAAATCCTCATCTTCAATTTTCCCACCTTTGCCCAATCAGTCCTCCACTTCCTCTCTGCCTCACATAGTATGCTTGTTCTTCCAGGGAAAGCCTGGGTAAATAGGTGTCTTGCATTGTGCCCTTATCATCCACAAACCCAGACTCTTCTCAAGAAGGCAGGAGGGCAGTTCCAGAGTCAAGGCGCCCACACTGAAATGCCCTGCACCACCAGATCTCTTCTGTTTATACCAAGGTCTTCAAGAGTTAACCAGCACCCAAACCTGAAATCATGATCTTTGACTTTTAACTGCAAAGGATAGCCAGCTGAAAAACCAATGCAGATCAGGGAGCACTAATGGGCAAGACGTACTGCCTAACGTAAAGGCATTCAGAAGATTCTGAATGGTCTGTGGGTGTAGAGTTTGGGTCTCATGTTAAAGGAAGAGGTTTTCATCCTCCAGCAAAGCACAGATGAAAAAAGGAACCTTGGCGACTGCTGATATTTGGACATTTAGAAGCTGCAGAGTGACCAACTAAACCCCCAGTTTGCCAACTGTAATGACAAATGGAAGGCAGACACTCTCAACTGAGGGGACAGAGATAAATGCCACTTCTGATTGCTTCCCCCAGATTATCATTTCAGTTTGATCTAAATTGAGCTTAAGCCACCTAACCCTCATCCACGTTCATCCACACTGTGGGTAAATCACTCTATTGTGCCACTAAAGTTGGGTGAAATGGAGATGCAGAACTAGATCTCATCCACCTACTGGATTAATGCAGAAACACCACGGTATGAACTTGTTAAAACTGGAGATTGTTATATGCTCAAACTCCTAAATGGTAACAGATCCTTACTGAAATGCTTCCAGCTGGGCTGACATGAGTTTCATCCACTCCATGGTTGCCATTTGTAATATCACAGATGCAATAGTTACTGACAGAGGGGAGCTTGAAGGTGTGGCCACCCTCACAATGAATTTCTGGGCTGATTCCACAGCCAAATGTGAAAGAAGCAAGTGAATGGTAGTGTGTAAGGAGAACAACTGCGTGGATCAGCTCTGCCAGGGACCAGCTATGCTCTTCTGTCTTCAGAAGTTGCTTTAAAAGAAACACAACACAAGATTTTTTTAAAAAAACTGTATTGGTGGCTCAGAAACTTCATCAACCTTATCAGCCTAGTCCCACAAACTTTTTAATGCACTTGTGAATAACTTGTTCTCTGGAAAGAAGCCATTCTTCTAGAATTCAAGCTCTCGTTACGTCTTTCCTCAGTAAGCTAGAAGCTGCACAGACAAATGCAGAGCTTACCCTCCAAAAGGGCCAAACAGAGAGTGAGGTAAGGGGTCTAACTAACAAGTTAGGAAGCAACTGGCCACATCCTCATTATATTATTAATTTCAAGAGTAATACCTCCCTCCTCCCCGCACCCCATAATACTGCCATAATCAATCCTTGTATTGCTGGTTTTATTACTGATAAGCCATTGATAGAAGAAGGAAGGGAGCTGTGGTAATGAGGTAACATGGGTAAGCCAAATAACAGATGACTTTTTGCCAAAAAATAGCATTTGGATCAGTTGAAGTGGCTTCATTTTGCTTTCAGGTTTCCACTAAAGTCGGGCTGGCTGGTTTTTCAATTTCACACCATTAATAACACAATGCTTCTACTCAAACCTTCAAGTTCGGCTTGCACAGGCAGAAATTGGATGGTTTTAGCCCATCTCTGCAATCTCGGAAAGCCCCAGGCAGTTCCTGGCGAATAAGCTGCCTAAAGAAAGTCTGGGGGTGAAACAGGGCTCAAGACTCCATCTTCCCCAGTGGCTCCACGTGGGAGGAATTATCGGTCACTCACAGGACGCTTTAAACCCCAGCTTCCCCTTCAGACAGGAACAAGTGGGAGGTTCTTAGCCTTTGCAAAGAGTATGCTTCTTCCCCTCCCGCAAGGCCAGCCTCTGCTTCCCCACCTGGCAGATGTTTCTCAGAGAAAGTAACACACTCTTCCTCCTTTCTCTGGTGAGTGAAAAGCAGCAGTAGGAAGAGCTGCTCTAAAACAGCAGCTGTTAGGCAGGGAGGCAGAGAGTGGCTTTAGAAGGAGAGCATTATACTTCAGGTTATTGCTACTATTGTTTTTATATATAAAATTTGCTTTTAAAAAGTTGCTTAAGTGTGAGAGTGTCATGGAATCAGAAGAGAAATATGTACATTTTAGATGCATATATAGTAGACTGGAGTCTCTAGGTTCAAAATACATAGTTTTCAATAATTCAGTTAAAATGTGCTGATCTTCACCTATTCTAATGCCCTAACACCATCTTGAAAATCCTAAATTCAAGAAATGTATAATAATCTTGTTTTAAGAAGGTACGTATCTGAACATGCACCCTCTACTTTTAATTCTCAAGTTGGATCACTCAGAGCCTCAGCCATTTTAAACATGGGCTCCACACAGCCCCAAGTAGAGCCTACAAAATCAGGTGCTATATGCCAGTGACGTACCATCACATTTTAAGTAACACATGTCCATCCTACTGAGGGTTATATATCAGGGCTGCCAGAGTCACACTGTGGTACACTAACATGCAGTTCTTCCAAAGTACCAGTAGAATTGCTTTCTAAATAAGAACTCTACTCAGTGAGATGAGACCAGTAATTATTTTGTGTTCATGATATGTCATTTCCATAATGATTACAGTATTTGAGCTACAAAACATAAATAAAACCACTAGGAAAAAAATGAGCTTCCTCCTCAGCCCCAAGAAATTTAGACTGCATTTAATGTAGTAAGGATGCGTAAGATGTTGCATAAGAGAAGACTAACCTCAATATGCTCTTTGGTGATAAGCCAGGGCCGATGAGCCAATATTTTATTCAATTCTCCTAAATTTTGCAGTTTGTGAGGTGCATTCTCTAGGCCATTCAGCCATTTGGGGTCTCCTCCAACATGAAGGAAGTCATTAACATGGAGGTTAACTAGATAGGAGCACTGATGTCTTGCTGCAGCCTAGAAGGAAAAAATAAGTAATAATGCAGAAGAATCTTTGCAAATTAGCTCCTAGCAATGATGCAAATCATCATTACAATGTACGATTTTGCAGTGGTCAAAATCTGTAATTAAAACAACTTATGATTAACACAGTAGCTTGTTTCAATTATTCCTCTTAAGAATATACAACTGAACATCTTTCATTCATATTCACCATAACAGTGTTTTGATTTTGCATCTTTAAAATCTAATCTAAAATTGGCTTGTGGGAAGCTGATTCTAAAGTTCTGTCAGTAAAAGCCAGAAAAACTGGCACTTTTCCAGTAAGGAAGGTGATTACACATGGTTTACTCAAAGAATAACAATTTCCATTGCTAGTTTAGATAAGGCTCAGAGTTTCAAGATAACTTAAATAGACACAGACTGCTGCGTTGGCACAATGGAGACTACAATCTACACCTGTAACAGTTAATTATGACAATTTTGGAATCCAACAGGAAATTTGGTTAGACTCTGAAGATTCTGAAATTCTGACAATGATCAAGTTATTTATATTGAGCTGTGCTGGACAAGACACAGATTGTTAAAAGCCTGGCTTAAAAAACAGATTTGAGGTACATAGGAATCTGATGGCAAAATAATCTTCCTATTCATATGACACTAAGATTATCTTTTTTCCTCCTCCCATTCTTTTTGAAAGCATGAGCATTTAGACCGTAAGCACTGATCTCATAAAACTGTATTTAGAAAAGAAAACAAAGATAGTGTTCTATAAAACACAAAATACTTTAGGTAATTACTCTGGCATTTCCCTTCACATACGTTGAAAGGCCTTCCCTCAGCTGAAACAACAAAATGTAGTTAACATCTGTTGTAAAAAGGATTAAAGAAAGTTGCCAAAATGGCTATTTCTGCTTGCTGCTCTGCACTCCAACATACCATTATCCCTATGTAGTGTCGGTAATGAAGAGGCAATGGGCCATCCATCTGCAGTAGATAGTGCTGAGTTTTCAGAAAGCTTCCTAGATACTGCGGGTGGAAAACCATCACTAAGGTGATGTTGTCCAAACGGCCCAAAGTAGCAAAAGAATCTGCAAACAATGTATGCATCTGGGCATCTTCATTTCCCACTTGAAGAATCTGATTGAATTAAAAAGAGGGCTTTAGAAACGGTTTTCCAAAATATATCAACAAAATTATGATTAAATATTTATATCACATAGTTCTCAGAAGCCCCAATTAGGTTTTGGGGGTCCATTCTGCTAACTGTGAATCTAATGTTTATTAAGTTTCTTTAGAAATCCTAGTTAAGTATGAGGGTATTGCATGTGACATTTTAAGGTGGAGCCCTGAAATTCAGATTGCATGTAGGTAATAAGAATACGTGTATCTCTGGCAGGGCCAGTTCACACTACTCTCAGAGCATAGCTTAGCCGGTGCGGAAAACAGCAGCAAACACAGCTGAGTGTAGTGAGGGGTAATCATAGTATCTATAAAAGGCGTAAATGCTAGTTAAGAAAAAAAAAAAGTTAAGTGCTACCTGGGTACCTGGCAATAGTGGGAAACCCAGGATTAAGACTTCAAACTTCTCAGAAAACTGACCACAGTCACATCAATAAATCCTCTTGTTACACCAGTCTCTCCTGCCAATCAATTCATGGAGCAGCACTGAAAGAGCTCTATCACATGCTCTTTGAGCTGAAGGAATGATAAACTTCTGTTCATTTGGAGAAGTGGTAAGAGCTCATAAGAAAAATAACAACCATCACCAGAACTAAGGGATAGAGCAGGGGTGGGCAAACTATGGCCCGCAGGCCGGATCCGGTCCGCCGGCGGTTTTAATCCAGCCCTCAAGCTCTGGCTGGGGAGCAGGGTCTGGGGCTTGCCCTGCTCCAGCATTCCAGCTGAGGAGCAGGGTCGGGGGCTGCTCCAAGCGGCTCACAGAAGCAGCGGCATGGCCTCTCTCCGGCTCCTACACATAGGGGCAGCCAGGGGGCTCCGCTCTGCATGCTGCCCAAGCGCCAGCCCCGCAGCTCCCACTGACCAGGAACCGCAGGGGCAGTGCCTGCAGATGGGGTAGCATGAAGAGTCACCTAGCTGTGCCTCTGCATAGGGACATGCTGCTGCTTCCGGGAGCTGCTTGAGGTAAGTGCCGCCCGGAGCCTGCACCCCTTCCGGGCCCCAACCCCCTGCCACAGCCCTGATCCCCCTTCCTGCACTCCAAACCCCTCGATCCCAGCTCAGAGCACTCTCCTGCACCCCAGACCCCTCATCCCCAGCCCCATCCCAGAGCCTGCACCCCCAACCAGAGCCTGCACCCCTTCCCGCACCCCAACCTCCTGCCCCAGCCCTGATCCCCCTCCTGTCCTCCAAACCCCTCGGTCCCAGCCCGGAGCACCCTCCTACACCCTAAACTCATCATCCCCAGCCCCACCCCAAAGCCCACACCCCCAGACGAAGCCCTCACCGCCCCCCACAACCGGAGGCCCCTCCCGCACCCTGAACTCCTCATTTCTGGCCCCACCCCAGAGCCCGCACCCCCAACCAGAGCCCTCACCCCCTCCCACACCCCAACTCCAATTTTGTGAGCATTCATGGCCTGTCATACAACTTCTATTTCCAGATGTGGCCCTCAGGTCAAAAAGTTTGCCCACCCCTGGGATAGAGGCTCCTCTGGACCTTTGTGGACCAGTAAGAGGAGCCAGCCCACATTTGAATACTGCATATGGGACAGGGCAAGTGATTATCACTACGAAAAACAACTCTGCATTTCTTTTGTAAAATATGGTTGTGTAAAAGTGCCATGAAAATTCCAGAATTCCACATGGCCATTACTGCTTTCTAGTTTAGCAGAACCATTGCCAGTCTGATGATGATTTATTATGATCAACAGTGTGCAAAATATTTTGCAGATCAACAGCTGTTCTAAAACCATGTGGGTCCTACATGACTTTACCTTAAAAGCATACAGCTCACTGTGTACTTGCAAACAACATACCTCCTTCTCTGGGATGAATCTGCTTGGTCCATGTCCCAGTGGTCTAGGAATTCTAATTCCAAGTTCCTAGAAAAGAGAATTACACCATCTCAGTTTTCAGCTATAAACAATTCAGCTGTGGCTTCAGGGAAGAAAAAAATTCACCAAACAAACAGAGCTGTGCTTGTTTTAGTGGTACACTCTGTACACATGCAGTTATTTTTCTACTCATGTTTCATAACTAACCATACTTGTTTACGGTATATCATACTGCTCTGGTTAAAAACAATAAAACCTGCTTCACTGAAAACCTTAATTTTGCATAAAATACTTGGCAGAGTGTCCAGAACAATTTGTTCAGTACACAGCAGCCAGTCATGTGATATGTCACTAATGCAAAATGAGATTGATGCACGTCTGCACATCTGCAGTAAACCAACATACCAATCTCTGTGCATCTGTCAGGAAATGAAACAGCTGTAACCTTAACCCAATTGTTTTTTTCAACCTTAGTGATGTGTGTGAATCGCTAAAGGTATCTGCAAATAAAAAGCAAGCAAACAAAAACTTAAGAGACGTTAATGAGCTATTTAAGTTGACAGAGAGAAAGACAGGTAATTGCATCCAACCTGAAGAAGAACAGTTTACCACAAAACTTTTGCTGAAACGCAGACAATTTATCTCAATACCTAAGAGATTAGAGTTATCCATATCACAACCACTGGTTATTTTTATTCTATCTGCTCAACTGAAGGAAGCTTCATATTAAATCTGTTACACCTGGGAATTTTGAGGCCCAGTTATCCTCTCAGTATCCAGGTAACAACCATGTACTTCAATGGGAATTACTTGGATCTTCTTAGGGGAAAATGGTATCAGGGGGTAGCCGTGTTAGTCTGTATCCACAAAAACAATGAGGAGTCCGGTGGCACCTTAAAGACTAACAGATTTATTTGGGCATAAACTTTCGTGGGTAAAAAACCTGTGTTATTTTAGGGGAGAATGTGGCTCTTAGAAGTCAACTGGTCTTATCTAAAATAAGTTGCTGCCTAAGCTTTCATTTACATGCAATGAATTTACACAAACAGAAATATTATCCAAATACAAGAAAAAAAAAGACCAATAATAAACAAGACTGGTGCTTGTGACTTGTTTATAATAACCTTGATCTGTCTTGAAAAATCTAGTAACTTTATCCATCAATTACAGTTCCTGAACTTTTCCCTAATAGAAAAAAGCTACAAACAAGCTTCAGACTGCAGAGTGAATTAATACTGACCCTTGTCCATGGTACCCATATGTGATCTCAAGATTCTATTTCTCTAATCTGCCTCTTCTGAAATCAGATGTTTTCATTTCTTGAGTTATACTTGGGGAAAGGGTTAACTAAAAGGTGTCCTTACCACTAATGTTTTCAAATCTTACATGGAAGGATAAGGCTTGTGATGGAGCCTTTTCCTACTGCAGGTCACAAGGTTCAAAAACATGTTACACTTGTCAACTAAATCTGTAATACAATGTGTGTCAGAGTTGGGCTGAATTTATATCCTCAAAAGAATCTTACCCCACAGACACCAGCTACTTCTTGTCCTGACCACCATACACTGATAAATTAAAGAAAGATCTTACATCCAAGTGACAATGAGAAAATAAAAAGGTCTTTATGTAACATTTAATTTAACAGATGTCTCCAAACCTAGCTTCCAACTCATACACAACAGGAGAAAAATCTTAGTTAAATTCTTGGACAGCTAAATTTTAGTCTTTTCCCTTCCCAGAACAATTACAGGAAGAAAGCCTCAAAGTTCTACAACCCAAGACTCATAAACTTACTAATTTATTTTGCCCAATACAGTCTAAAATATATCAGCAAGTCCTGACCTTCAACTTTCTTGTCCCCTCATAACATAATGATTATGCTGCAGGAAGAAGGTTTAATTAAAAACAGCTATGTAAATAAAGAGAGAAAACACCTTCATGTCACATAACTTTTTAAAAAGCACTACAACGGAGAGGTAGGATGGCCCGGTGGTTAGGGCTTGGGAGACCTGGGTTCAAATCTGCTCTGGCACAGACTTCTTCTGTGACTATGGGCCACTTAGTGTCTCTGTGCCTCAGATCCCAGCTGTAAAGTAAAAATAGCAGCACCTGCAGGATTTTTTGAGAATACACACACTAGAGACTGTTTCAGAGTAGCAGCCGTGTTAGACTGTGAGGCTCTCAGATACCACACAGGTCACAGCAGAAACTCAGAGTTGCAAACATCTCAGGATTGGAGGTTGTTTGTAACTCTGAACAAAACATTATGGTTGTTCTTTCAAAAGTTTACAACTGAACATTGACTTAATACAGTTTTGAAACTTTACTATGCAGAAGAAAAATGCTGCTTTCCCTTTATTTTTTTAGTACTTTACATTTAACAGTACTGGACTGTATTTGCGCTTTTTTTTTTTTTAAATCTCTGCTACTGCCTGATTGCATACTTCTGGTTCCAAATGAGGTGTGTGGCTGACTGGTCAGTTCGTAATGCTGAGGTTCTACTGTACCTTTAGACCTTAAATTGTGTACTTAAAAAAAAAAATCAGTTTCCATTCTGATATTCATCACCACTTGTATCTAACTCAGATTTTCCCTGTATCCAATGTTTGAAATTGTTACCTTGTCAGTGTAGTATCTGAGTCTCTTACTAACACTTAGAATGATCCCCTTCTCATAAAGGCCTTTCCTGTAGCTCTAACATGTCACTCCAGTCTCAGAAGCTTTTCATTAGGCCTCCATTTCCACCACATTGAGTTCAAGTATCCTGTCCTCACCGCCCCAACTGTCTCCCACCCATATTGTCCTCTTCTCCATAGAAATCCCTCCCGATCTAACTGTAAAGTTACTACTTTCTCCTCCTTCAAATCCCTCCCCAACATGCAATTCTCCTATGATGACTTATGATCCCAGTTACTCTAAACTATTTGGGATATGGACTGTGTTTGTTCAGCATCTAGCACAATATGATACCAACCATGACTGGGGCCTTTCGGTGCTACTTCAATATAAATAAGCAATAGCAAATCTCTTCATCTGTCATGTCTGCTCTATCTTAAAAGCCAGATTAAAAGAATGTTAACGTTGCAAAGTTAAGCACTGAAAGTCACAAAATGCCCAACCTTAGCTTTACCTCCTTGTGCATTACAATATACATCACACAGGAGCCTCACCTCACTCTACCTATGAAATTTACATAGCTCCTGTGACAGTTCTCAGAGTACCTTGGACTGCCTCCAGCATGAAGGAGTCTTGCTTGTGCTTAACTGGGTGTCAGCTCCCTGACACCACCAGCCCATTAGCCACTAGCACAATCTCCTCTTGGCTCTGCCTGTCCTTACTTTGCCTCACAGTTTAACAATAGGTGCACCCTGGTGCCAGAATCCCTTTGAAGCATTTCTCTGTAGTGTCCAGCCCCTTATCAACTGAACACTCACAGAAATACCAGGTCTGCTGTCCCCAAGGGAACAGTGCACACACCAGCTTGTACGATTCAACTCAGGATCAGCACCTAGCTTAATATCACAGCATTTAGATATATGTATAGTGAAAACAAGAATAAAGTTTATCATCAAAGATTTAAGACTCAAGTGACAGTAAAAATATAGGAAACAAACAGTTACATATAAAAATAAAATAACATGCTTTCTAGAGACTAAACTTAACTAAACAGGTTAACCTCATGTTTAAAGACGTTTCTCACCCCGGAAGTCCTCTGCAGCTTTTTTCAGCCAAGGTTGGCTGAGATCCCATTTTCATGAAGGTAAACACATTGTTTACTTTCTTCGTGCAGGATAAGGGGGTATCTTGTGTTCTACTTATACCCCCAAAGTTTATTGCTTGTACTCAGAGACAGCATAGCCACCCCCAGCTACTCTTTGTGTTCTCTCTCTGTTGGCTTCACATCTCTTCAATAACTTTGTATGTAAGTGTGCATCCACTGTGAACAAAACGTCTTGTCTGACAGCAATCTTTTTCATTTCTGCAGTTGACTCCTACCTAGACTCTAAGAACATATTTGCAGTATATATATACACATACATACACACACACATAACTCCTTACACAGTATCTGTGCTTACAATTCACAATGATATTAATGACCAGAGTGACCCTGTCTTTCATTTAACACCTCACATGACATTGTTTGGTGAACCAGAATGTATATTCCAGAATCAGGACATTCCTGTAACTCTCTTGCCAGTTAGCATTAGAGGGTTCTTGGGTCACAGCTTCCATTGCTGTAGTATCTGTGTACATCACATCTAATGAAGGTATCCATTACTTCACTGAGGTGTTGTGTGAAGTCCTATTGTCCTGATTTTACAGACGAAAAACTGAGACAGAGAGACTATGCCTATACTGGTGTCCAAGGTATAAATGCAGCATGGCTAGACATATCCACACTTAACGGCTAAAACTAGCAGTATAGACACAGGGGCATAGGCTGAGGTGCAGGCTAGCAACGTGAGTATGTACCCAGGGTCCCCAGCATATTCATACAGCCCAAACTGAAGTCTATGCCATTGCATCTACAATGCTATTTTTAGCCATGCTAGCATGGGTAAAGCTAGCATGGGTATGTCTACCCATGCTACAATTACACCCTGGATTGCAGCATAGATGTACCTTAAGTGTACTGTACTTGATTTGAATCATCAGAAAGAAAGTAAAAGTGTTTTTATTGTATTTTAAAAACAGATCTTAAAATATTATTAGCTCTACAAGTTAGATGTGAAGTGGAAAGTTCCTTCTGTCTAAAGATTTCAGAATGCTTTTAAAATATTACATTTCTCAACACCCACTCAAAATTGGTTAATGTGATCTGCATTTTACAGATGGAGAAACTGAGCCACAAGGAGCATAAGTGATCTGCCCAAAGACATACATCAGGTTCATGATGGAGGCAGGAGTAAAACCCAGGAGTGCTGACTCCCAAGTCTCTTGTTCACTTATTATTAATAATAAATAATAATAATAAAAACCATTATTATTAGTAGGGGTTTTTGGCTCCTCTAGGATTAAATATTAACATAGACATCTGGAGATAT